TATGTAACATACCTCTGCCTGCCGGTCGACGCGTGAAGATTACGGTGTGGGCCGAGATCATGTCATCTCTCGTGTTTATTGAGAGAAGACGAGCTTTACTCTTTGTTTTGTAATAGGAGTGGCAAGTGTCACGCCGAGATGATGTGTTCTCCGAATTGGCGACGGTTCAAGAACCAGCCATGCATACATGTGGGAAAGACCGGACCAAGGTGTGGCTTGGTTTCTTGGGGTCGGGCATCGCGTCGTCGCATACAGAATCACAGGAGCCTGAGACCGCCGAGTCAATTGTGAGCTATCATGGGCCCGCAGAGCAAAGAGTGTTGTTGCTCGCACCCGGGAGCGTGGGTCCAAAGACGTCACCCAACCTCTCACCCAGTTGGACAATGGTAAGCTCATACACTCGTGCTGCGTCCAGGTAGAATCCGTCGTCGTCTCCATCCCATACCGGGTCGACTGCGTCATCATTCTCAGTGTTGTTGCTCGTTGTGACGTCCGTCTCACTTTCAGTCTCCTCCACCTCGTCGTCCTCGTCCGGCTTCCTGCTAAGGACCTCGACAATGACCAACCTGGTCTGTTCCACGGAGCTCCGACAACGGACCATATCCGTCGTAGACATGCCTGCTCTCATGCCATTCTCAAAGCCGGGTAGCGTATCTTTTGTCTCTATGTCGCGGCCGGTAAGGATGCTTGCAAAACAATGATCCAGCTTCTTCAAGATGGAAAACGTAGCTTTGGGAGAAGATGGAAATGCGTCAATCCACTGTGTAAAATCACTGGCTATGTTGAGGAGGAAGGGGATCTGTATGCTCGCTGCAGAAACGAGTCAGAGTTGGTATCTCAAGGCGGGCAGGACACTTTTGTCCAGCGAACTGTGGGTGTGTGTGTGGGGGGGGGGGGGGGGGGGGTCCTTACGAGTTCCGGATAACCACAGGACGTCAATAACGCCGTGCAGGTCGTTGCAAAGCTCGGCAAAGGTTTTGTAACCGACGACCTGATCGCCAGGCTCTGGATTTCCGTGCTTCTTGACATAGCGACGATTGACCATAGCCAGTCGTTCCTCAACGTATCTACGGACTGTCTCTTCCTTATTCGATCCGGGCCGGAGCGACCTGGCACGAGGATGCGGAAGACGCGCGCTGGAGCGGGCGGAAGTGCTGCTAGGAGCAGGCGATGGGAGAGTTTGAGATGGAAAGAAGCCACCTGGTTCCTGCGGCTGCGAAGCATCAGCCATGGTCTTGACGTGTATCTGCTAATCGATATGGCCGTGATGATGCCTTTCGCATCGTCAGCGTGATGAGCTTTAAGGGACTTTAGCCCTTTTGGTTGCAAGGTGTTGACGGGAAAGAAAAATGCCAAGCAACAGCCCAAATCTACCTACCTACCGAGCTAGGTAGGTAGGTAGTAGATTGGTAGTACCTCACACCTACCTAGGTGCCGCTTCCTGCAAGCAATCACCCTGTTGAGCGCGCTGACTTGGCCTGCTTGGGACTGGAACTTGGTGAATTAAGTAAGCAGAACTGAGCCACATCCAACGGGCCCACGCAGACGGAACCGTGGCTTGTGTACGTCTGACGTCCAGCTCGGTCAAAAATTTTGGCTTCCCGTACTGTCTGAGCTTCTTACGTCCAGCTGGCCCGACTTCAACTTCACATCGCGAGCAAGGAAAGATTTGTCCGCTTCCCTCCACGACGTCAACGCCCTCCAATATCCGATATTCAACTCTAAGTCTTTTTTCTTTACGTCTCACATCGAAAAGCCAATATGCCTCCCAAAAGAGTTGTCGTCGAAAGAGCCAGCCCGCGCTCCCGCCAGCCCAAGGGTTACTTCAGATCAACCTACGATGCTCTGACCTCGTCCGAGAATGCGCCCATTGTCCGTAGTATTGCCATCTTTGGCGTGAGTAAATCCGCAATCTTCGAGCTTTCTTCATGCCGGGCTTGCTAACATGAGCTCTTAGGCTGCCGTGACTTTCCTCTCGAGCTCCTGGGGCGAGTTTCTTCTTCCACCGTGAGCCCTCCCCGATAACATCCGGTGTTTGTAACCGTTGCTAATGTCCCTTTTGCAGTCAATAAACGATTACGTCAATTGCCGAATGACGATCCATGTATAATCACGTTCTTGTTGCCGCGAAAGAAAGCTGGCTGTACAATAGTTGAAAGACAAGTAGCCTCGAGGCTATAGGGAATATCACCCGAGGCCTGGCGATATCTCGGGTATACGGCCTACGCCTCTTAAGTTAATGAATCTCACTCTCATGCACTGCATGCTTTGATCATATTGGAGACCATGTTGGCGGAGGTTCATGGAATTGATCGATAACACCATGCTGCTTCCCAATACGCGTCGGGCCCAAAGAGTGAGGAGGCGACAAACTTAGTCGGGTAATATGACAGGATGTGCACACACGACGGTGACGGTAGCCAGGTTAAGACAATGCGATGAAAATCACGGTCCGGCGTTTCTTCACTCGGATTGCTGCAAGATGTAGATGGGATGCTCTATGGCGTTTATCCATGAGCCAGTTGTACTATAACTGATGAAACACAGACAGCTCTCGCCCCCATAACTCCGCTAGATATCACCCTTACATTAACTCCGCATTTTGGCAAGTTCCGTTGCACTTCTGGTAGAGCGACAGGGCAGCCCATCCACCACATGTCTCATTCGAGCTACCCGAACAAGGCATGTTGCAGCCACCCCACAGTCCCTTCTTGGGCATACGATCATCAGCGACCGAGTTACCACACCAGCATTCTTTTGCGTAGGACGGACCCGCATATGCAAAGCCTTTTCCATCGCAATGCTTGATGCAGGTATCAACTGTCATGCTATCGCTAGACGTCTTCGCGCTCGGAAGAGTTCGGCCCTGGCCCGACGGGTCGCGGGCACAGCCAAGATACTTGTAATTGAGCGTGCTCGTTACGTCCTTGTATCCCCATTGCGGCTGCGAAATCTGTGTTGTTGCACCACACCCTGATTCCGGCTGAGCATTACCAGGGCCGCGCTGAATGCTGTTACAGCCTGGCAACTTGTCAAGCTGGCCCTGTACTCTCTCATCGACTTTGACTGGAACTTGACAGTTCCTTCTTGTCTCATCGTCAAAGAACTGGAATACTGTGCATTTTTCGATACTGCCGCCGCCATCCTTGCATTGTGTGAGGGCAGCCTGGAGCACATTGACGTCCCATCCGTTGACAAAATCGCCGTGTAGACCATAACCTGTCGGGTCGCTATACAGCGTCAGTGATAGTGCCCCTCGCCAAATTGGGAAAGGTAACTGACCCATTGGACAATACGAACGGCTGGGTGCTACTTTCGCCATACCACATGTCCTTGAACTCGTTGACGTTGAAGATGACCTCGTAAAACAGACTGAGAGGGGTGTTAGTATTGTTCGGATAACAGCTTCTAGGATGTGCCTAACGTTGGGAATCTTTTGGGGTGGCTTGGCGGGCATATGCCGTTGTCCAACCCCCCTGGGTAGGCCATGTGACTTTTGTGGTCAGGAGAATCCAGGTTTACGCCGTCCCAGCACGATGGAAACAAAACTTGAAGGCGCAATCCATTGGGACAATTACGGGTAGGAAACCCATTAGTCTGGGGGCCGCCATTTCCCAAGCACACGTATGTAATCCCTCGCTGCTCCAGGGTATCGTTGAAGCTTCGGAGCTTGGGATCGCCAGCCAGCATACGAAAGCCCTTGGGGAATGCTATAAGTCCGTTTTTGTACTCGGGATCTTTTTCGTCTTGCCGAAACCTAGAAGCCTTTAGTCAACCACAATCACGTCGCCATTTACTGCACCGGACAAGCACTTACAAGTAATAGGCTAGCATGCCTCCGGACTGAGAAACGCTGGTGAAATTGCCGTCTTGCCCTTGGTAATAGAGAGTCGGGATCCAGTAATTGCTTAAGTCCGCAGTGACCTTGCAAGTCGAACAACTGGCGGAGCGGGCCTGCTCGTATGTCATGCTGAAGTCAAAGCCGTTGCCGCCCATGATGGTGTGGACATGGCCGGCAAGAGCTCCCGGGTTGACGATGGGATCGGCACGTTCAACAACCACTGGTTTAGAACAAGGCATGATAAAGAAGGCAGCGGCATGGCCGATTGCCCATATCCCAACGAAAAGCCTTCCGGCTGCCCTCATTGTGCGCAAAAACGATAGCTGTAACGGGCGGTAGCGATAGAAACAGGATGAAGGAAGGTTCGAGGAGCTGAAAGGAGCAGCCCGAATAAATCAAGCAAAAGGCCCGCAATGTCACGCGAACCTGTGCAAGTCTGCCAGCAGAGCGGTGGGCTTAAACAGAGCTAAGAGCTGGAGGCTTCAAGGGATGAGCTGAACTGAGAAAAAAGGTGGGCGCCATACGGAATAAGCAATTGGAGAGCACAAAAAGGGTACTATACGTGAAGTGGGATGTGACGAGGTTTTTTATTATTTGCGTTTCGGCGTCTCCCTCGTCGCACTCAAGTTCCGCATAACCCACCCGCCATAAACCATGATCCAGGCCAAGCTTGACGAAGCCTTACATGATTGCGGCCGTGATGGATGGGCCCGTACAGGCCCATTCTGTGAACTCAGCCTGCCCTGGGGGGCTAGCAAGCGGAGAAACATGACGATCGGGCTGAGGCTAGACTGAAAGCATTTCCCGACTTGGCAATTTAAAGGCAAGATGGCGTCGCAAAATGGCGCCGACACCTTAGGAGGCTCGACTGGACGCCGGGATTTATCGGAGGCGGCTCCGACTGATAGAACAGACAGAGAGGCTGTCGCAAAAGAAGCTCCTGTATAAAGCTCTTTACCCGAAAGAGGAGTGTGTTCCGTTCGACTTCCAACCTCCAGGCCAGACATGACAGCATTGTCTCTAATCTCTTTCCATTAAGCTGGTAATACAAAAACAAAGATTCAACAATAGGTGCTACAAGACAAGATCTGGTGCATGCCGAGATCCTGCATGGGCGAGGTCTGTTCCGGTCATGGTAAACGAATGGGCTCCGCGAAGCGAGACCAGTACCAGCAGAGCTTGGAGCTTCGGGTACGGCTGTCTTAGACATGGCGGACTTTTGGGGACATAAGAGAGGCCCTGTTTAGCTCGCTACTTCTCCTCGCCATGCAAGCATCCGTCGACTCGTTAGCTTTTGGGCGGAAGGCGCGTCATGTTTGTCAGCCATCATTCCACGGTCACCGGAATTGGCATTAGGTTTCAGTCCAAGTCTGAAAAAGTGCAATTTGGATGTGCCTCGTGGAAAATTGGTTCCAAGCTAGTCATCAACGGGAAACTTGGAAGCAAGGGGTGCTGGATGAGCATGTGGCAAGTAGGCTGTCAGCTCAAGCATCGACGTGAGACAAGCAGTACCTCTCAGTCTTGCTCTGAGGATGTTAGCTGATGCGGTCTCGGCAAGCTGTCTCATTGTCTCACATGGGCTTTTCCGCTTCAACAATCTGTTCCCGGAAATTTCAAAATTTGATGGCTGAAGAATGTTTTCGTATTTATTGTTCTTTATCTTGGCGCTGAAACAGAAAATGGGCCGAGGTGACAGTTTGAGGATTTGGGTGAGACAGAAGGACAGGGCTCTGCACCGACACTTACCGGCACTTACATTGTACCTATTGCACAGATTGTCTAGTTCTAAAATACTGCCCGGTTTCCCGACAAACTGGTAAACACCCGTTGCGTCGGAGCACCTTGGTTTATGCCTCCGAGTCGGAAGTGGGGTTACGGGGTTACGGGCCTACAGAATCGGTAGCGTAAGTGGATCCCAACGGAGCCGGAGCTGAGTGCACGGGGGTATATGTCAACCCTTCCTGACTGTCTTTCTAGCGTCATCTTCTTTGCCTTTGGCATCAATGAAGATGCCGTGGCGGATTTTTTTCCAAACTACCCCCGTGCGCCTCGTCCGTCAATGTCCCACTTACTACGGCCTATCTCCTGAGCTAGCCCAACTACAGGCTTTTGAGAACGGCTTACGCTTAATCTGACGGCGTGGGTCTCACGGACATCCTCGGGCCGGTCGCTGTCTGAGTATTAGCACCGTATTCGCTGTTGATCATTCCGCTTTTTCTATACACGACGAGACAAATCTCGTTTAGCCACAGTTGGCCAAGGAACCACGAGATTACAGAGCTAGGGCTAAGTGAGCACACTTGCAAAGCTTACCATTCCCTCCTGTTTCGGCTTCTCGAGCAGACTGACATTGAAGCCGCGAGTCTGGTCGCACGTTTCTAACGAGAATTGCCAAGAAATTGATTACTGAGTCGTTCTGAGCCAAACCTTCGTTACCGTTTCCGAATGAAACGGGCACTGCACGAGTAAGTTCACACGCCTGTTTAGCACTACACCTGTACTATTCCGGAAGGCTACCACCACACTGTCATGCCAGAAGCCATCTCTGTAAGTTTTCATGTCCCGATACAGACGTCGCTTAGCATACAGACATGGTTCCTGGTCAAAAAGTCTCTAGAAGTGGCCTTTACTGATCTGTGTTACCATGCCCATCGGCTCTCCCCTTTGGCAGGCGGTGAATTATATCCACCGCCCTGAAATGAGGCAACTGGATCGAATTCGAGCCAGACTCTCTGCTCTGTACAGAGTACTTCGGTCATAATCATCTTGCCAATAGGGACCTCACCTGCCTCCGAATCTCATGCAGCGTGTCCCACACGGATCTGCAGTGGAATTTCTTCACCGCCCATCCCAACACGCCCGTCAAAGCTTGACCGGTGGTAGAGCGGCCACGTTCCCGGGAACGTCCAAGGCACCGCCACTTCGTTTATTGAACCATCTGGGGTGCATTCCTGTGACCGCGTCGAATTCTCTAGTTTGATCGAGATTAAGCTGTAGCGCATCAGCGATTCTTCGATCTAAGATGAGAATTCCCAAGTGAGCTGATGGGTAGAGCTTATCGAGAGATCAGACCTCCCGCTGTCTGACTTTCTTCCCAGAAAGGCTCGCCCTAGAAGTATGGTGAGTATTACGATGGGAGGAAATCAATGATGCGATCGTGAGCAAGGAAGCTATCGAGCGTCCCGTCTTTTGTAATTGGGGTAATCATCGTCTGTTTACATGGGTTTCATTTTGGAACCACTTTGCTTTGTCAAGTTTGAGGGCAGCGTTGGTTCTAACCGTACATATGATATTTTGCCAACTCCGAATATTGTTCGTATGCACCCATTGAACACTTGCCATCCTTGTTGGTGTGAGGTTCATAGATGAGGGAGTGATACTGCCGTACCTGGGACGAGATTCACAAGCTCCAGAGGATGAAATGGCATATATTGCAGTAACACCAAGTTAGACCTTTTCCCTTCTAGTGTAGGTATCCAATGAGGATAAATGTTCAAGCGCTTTTTGTTCAAGGAAGTGTAAAAAAAAATAAAAAAAAATAAAGATAGAAATAAACGCTCGTCCCTGAGGCTATTGATCCCAAGCTTATTTGGCACTAGATGCTCTACAATTGAGGAAAACACGCAGTGTGACAGTGAATCCACAATCAACCAATCTCCTCTAAAGAACCAGCGTGCATCGATCAACGCAGAATATCTACAAAGAATAATTGAGCGAGGTTGCACCTCAGCGTCCGACTCCCATATTTGGTCTGTTAGCAGCTGTAGATGCTGATACTCAACAACATCATTCTTACTGAGAGAATCTATAAGCTTGAGCTGTTGCAAGGTTCTCAAATTCAAATCGCTGACAAGTCTCAGTCATTAGACATAAGCAGCTCCCTTAAGTTATGAATGAAGTAGGAGGGACATGTAAGTAACACTGAGAGACTGACGTCAGCGATGGTCGCCGTCAACAACGGCGCCATGGATTGGGAGGAACTCGTCACAAACTTGAACTTTAGTCGCGTCGGAGGCTATCAGGCAATGGGTCACGATAGTCTCGAAGCATCAGAGCACGATCAGCTGCCAAGGCAGTATTCTGAACGTTTGATGCCTACACCGGCGGGAGATTGTCTGTGAGAAGTAACATCGTCAGAGATTAGAGCGAAATAACCAAGACATCAAGACTTCGTACTTAAAGAGTAACGGCTTTTAAGTCCTTCCGAAGGTTTCCTCGTGACCGGGAAAGGCTGACTTGAACATGGCCAGTCAATGACTTGGAGTCGCAATAATACGAGGACAGTGAGAACTATATTGCACAGGCTATCTTTTTCACGGAAGAACCTACGCAAAAGAGAAGACCGAGGTCTAGGAGGCGTGGAGAAGTGAGAAAAAAAGGGCCGAGCCTTTGGCTTTGAGCCATTAGTATCCCTCGTCGGGTGCCGAGCCGTTTGAGTCCATAAAGGATAGGGATACCAAGGTATTATGAATGTATTATCCCAGCTGAGAGGGTATTGGCGCAAATAGTTGCAAATGCAATTTTCTTTTCAGGAAAGGGGGTTTGGAGGCCAATATCATGCGTGCTATAGATGGCATGCACTGAACGTAGTCGGCCGAGAAAGCATTAGGCAAGTGTTAAGTTGAGAAGTTGTATATATGGCATTTGCAGCCCAGTACACAAGATACTGAGCGCTACGCTAGGACGAAAGAACAAGGGTTATGCTGCTATGCTGCCAGTCCCATCCCTTTCCCTATCTTGCGAACCAATGCCTTCTTCAAATACCATTCACGGGCAAGGGACCGTGTCGTCTTGGCAAAGACGGCAGGAGAGATTCTGCCTCGTTCAACAGCCCGGCCCAACACGAAAATGGTGTCCCCCATGGCCTTCTCCTCAGCTACCAGCGCATAGAGCTGATTAGCGACGACTGTGGGTGCGACTAACAGCTCATCAATATCAGGGGCAGTCTGGCATGACGAGCCTTCAATGACAGAGTCAGCCTTTCGCAGCGCTTCCACTAGGATGTTGGCGTTGGACTGAAGCAGAGCCGATGTTTGACCAAGGGTACCTATCTCTGATTGCAATGTCGAGAAGGCAGATATCATGGCTGTACGCTGCGCCTGCAGGCCTGCCATACTGGTTTCGTTCTGTTGTCGGCTACGTTGACGAAGAGAGTGGAGTGTCTGTGCAAGTTGGTGTAGCAAGGCGTCTTTCTCGGGGTTTGGAGGTATCGGCGGAGCGGGGACGGAAGACGGTGAAGGAATGCTCAAGGTTAGAGGCTCATCGAGCAGATCTGGGGGCGGCGCTGGCTTTGCTATTTTTTGTTGCGGCGGCAGCTGGTGTCGCAATTGCAGCTCTTGCTGCTGTAACTGTGCCTGATATTGCCCGGCCGGCTGCCATACGGGAGGGGGAGCACCTTGTTGGTGGGGCAGGGGGGTGACAGAACGGCTAGATTCCGCCCCAGGGACTGGCGATCGAGAAGCAGCATCGTGGCGAGGTTGGTACTGCTGGAAGTCACCTGTAAAGCGTGGAGGCAAAGTTGATGGTGGCTGCGGAGGATGCGAGGTAGGAGTCGGAGGTAGAGGCGGTGCCGATTCATAACGGGCATAGCTCTGGCTCTGAAGCCGAGGTGAATGACTGGTGCTATAACCTCCGTGAATAGATGCATGTTCGGCACTGGGGGGCAAAGGCGGCAGAGGGGGACCGTGTCTTGCATCAATCGGTGGTGGGGGGCTTCGGTATGGGGGCTCAGGGCCGGAGGTTTTCGGCGGCGGAGGTGGAGGCTGTGGAGACCCTGTAGATAATTGGGTCGATGGACGACTGGCTGGACGGTGAGCCAGGTCAGGGGGTAGGGGGGGGAGGGGGGGAGGTATTTGGCCATGCGACTGTGAAGGAGGAGCAGCAGGTGGGGGAGGCTGCTGTTGACCTGGCTGTCGGGCGATGACGGGTGGTTCCTTGGCGAAGATGTCCCTCAATATGGCGACGAAGTCTAAAATCGTGGATTTCTGGGTTTTGAAGAGTCAGATATGAACTGCGAAGGGAGATTTGGAAGCGGACATGACGTACATCCCAGAAGGCGGCCCAGCCTACAAGATATGGGTGGTATACCTGCCCTTGGGGGTCTACATGCTGACCGGGGCGTACCATCATGGTTTCGGTGGGCGTCACGTAGACTAGCGGCGCGTCTCGAGGATAGGCATGAGGAACCCATATTGAGATGGGGAAGCGGTATGTTGTGCCCCTGAAGATAACGGGTATGGTACCGGAGAGGTTGACGAGGAGTGCAGAGGCGCCATTGTCGAAGGCTAGATACACCATCAGCGGTAGTTCCCAACGAGGCTGTAACCCAAATTCGAGAGGGCATACTGTGGACATCGGTGCGCGGTGACAAAGAAGGGTAGTGGGAGAGCGCCTGTGCAATATCATTGTAGGTGCGATTCACATCGTGATATTCCTGAGAAAGGCGGCGCATCAGTTAGAGAACGAAGGCAGCGGCAAGCAGGAAGGGGAGTAGTTACGCTGGTAAGAACGCTGTAGAGCCAATTCAAGACATGTTGTGGGACGGGCATTGTGGTGACGAGGTAAGGGTTAAGAGCTAAGGCAGAGGAGAGCTCAGGCAAGATCAGAGGAGGGATGAGCGGGATGTGGGAGCAGCACCGAGGGCCAAGCGGAAGCGGGGATGCGACAGGCAAAGCCCGATTTATGAATGCATGTCGTGAGGATCCTGAAGCCCAGTGTGGCGTGGTTCAACGGAGAGCGGGAGGCGATAGGGGGGGGAACCCCAATCGAGTCGGTCGCAAGACGACAGCAACAGAGGTCGTCGGACAGCGGGGGAGGAGGCGGCGTCAATCACCTTCCGTCAAATTGGTGGTGTCGCTAAAGCACGGCCGGACGGTGCGGGCGGGCGTGAGAGGTGGATGTTGGAGCTCGGGGATCGGTGGTTGGGCGCCGGCGCATTCAGATCTGTCACCAGATGACGCATACAAGTAGGTACCTACTATAGGTAGCTTGGCCAAAGTGGGGCGTTGGTTTGTTGCACAACCGCAAACCTCTTTCCTCTCTGCCGCCTGCCTTTTACGCTGCACCCACTTGTAAATCATTTTCAAAGCGTTCACTATCGGACTGTCTCATCACCACCAGAAACTGATATGTGGACAGCCACTTGTTTGTATTCTCTCAGTACATAATGCGCACAATCCATCAATTCGTCCTGTTTGGACAGGCTTGTGGAAGCATGGTTCAAATCATTGACAACCATGCACCATCCCAGACCACGCTCAATAGCGAATCACGGAAGCAGAGTAACGTAAATAATGGCATGGACTAATTACAGTGATCAACGTCGAGGGGATCTCAAGAAAGCCATACACCATGACGTCGTGATGAGAAAAGGACTCCGTGGTTGCAAAGGAACGGAAGGTTAAAATACTCAAACAAAAACACTCTGAAGGGCAGATCGTCTGTACCTCGCATGAGGCGATTTGCCCGTTGCAGTTTCGCCTTCTGGCTGTCCTCCCGGCAGGTTACCGTGGCCATTTTTTATCTGCTGCATAGCCGCTAGTCCGGCCGGAGTCGGAGCTGTAACTCATTACACTTTCTCATCGTCAACCCTACCTACCCAACGAAAAGCTGTGGCACTCAGCTAGGTAATTTGGTTGCAAACGCTCACGCGAAACAATTTAAAGGCACAAGTACCCCGCTAAGCCAGGGCATGTACTGTTAACTACCTAGAAAATTACCTACTGGCGCCTCAATGCATGTTTCAAATTGCGCGGTCCAACCCCTC